TCTCACACACACACACACACACAATCACGCAACAGCAATCGACTGAGTTTAGCGTTGAAAACGATGCCCTGGTCTTCAAGGCACCAGAGTCATGCAGCAAAGGTGTGTGCGCGCGTGTAACGTGGAACAACACATATTCGTGATTGGTTCGTGTAAGCAGGCATTACAGAATTGTGTCGCTTTGGCTGTGGCTGATGTGCTGTGGAGTTACACCGTGTTGCATGCTGTGTTGCGGTGTTACCCTTCGTTTCTCTGATGGTCGTAACCTTTCCCCAACCTATTGAAATGTGTTTCGTTGGTTTGCACCACGCCCTTGTGCATGTGCATGTGTGTGTGTGTGTGTGTGTGTGTGTGTGTGTGTGTGTGTGTGTGTGTGTGCATGTGTCACTGTCACCTTCGGCGGCCATGACGGCGTTGCGCGCGCGCGCGCGTGTGTGTGTCAATATTGACTGGGTCGACATCTCATCTCAACCCCCCCCCCTTTTCCGTTCTTCCTCACCATTATTGTGTGTGCATCCTCTCTCCACCTCTCCCCATCTCTCCATCCCTCCCCATCCCTCGTCGCCTGCGTGGCGTGCAGGGGCACAGGTGTGCATGAACTACGGCCAGCGCTCCAATGAGGACCTGCTGCTGTTCCAAGGGTTCGTGGACGGCGACCACCCCGCCGACACCGCCACCCTCATCTTCGGTGCGCTGTTGTTGTTGTTGTTGTTGTTGTTGTTGTTGTTTGGTGTGGTGTGGTGTGCAATGACACGTGCAGTTGCTGAGGGGTGATGTCTTGCTGAGTATGTTTGTTGTGTGCAGTTGTTCACCATCGTGTGCACATGCGTAGTGTGACTGTGAATGTGACTGTGATGACAGCGGCGGTCATCAGCATGCTTACGACCTGCTCGTTCCGCTCAGCACACTTTTTGTTGCCCTCACATGCTTATCGTTGTCTCGCTCATCGCTCATCGCACACTCCCACATCGACAATCAACTGCTTCTTCCTCCCCTCCACCATCGACTCACATCGCCACCACGTGTTGTGCCACGTCGTCAGATGTGGATGCGGACGTGGAAGCGCGACCGGTTCGCCTCATGCTGCTCAAGAACCTCGGCATACAAGTGTACGGCATGTGTATGCACGTGTGCGTGGATGTGAATCTGTGCATGAGGGGAGGGTTGGAGGGTGTGTGTGTATGTGTGTGTGTGTGTGTGAGTGAATGTGTGTTTTCGTATGTGTATTCACTGCTTTTGTGCGCACCATCGGCACCTGACTCAACACCAAGTTTCATGCACACACAACACACATGCACACACGCGCACACTATGTGCAGGCCCGGCCCCTTCCATGTGGATGCGTTCCCACACCCGCTGGATCCGCAGCTGCTCGCCGCCTTACGCGTCGCCGCAATGGGCAAAGGTGCGATCGTGATACTGTAGTGGCGGCGGTGATGTAATGTGATGTACTGTGATGTGATGTGATGTGATGTGATGTGATATGCTACCACATGGCATGGTGTGATCTGAGGCGATGTGGAGGCGATATGGTGTGAGGTGACGCGATGTTGGTTGCATGCACTTCCAACCGCCTCATACTGACGTCAAATGACGTCCAACCGTCTCGCTCCAAACACACACACACACACACGCACACACACGCACACACACACACACACACACACACACACACACACACACACACACACACACACACACACACACACACACACACACACACACACGCACACACATGTAGATGAGTTGACTGCGCGGCTGCGTGACCCAGCGAGCTGTGCGGACTTGGGTGAGGAGAAGGACGGCGTTGTGTCCGCGGATTGTGCGAGGACAGCCAACGCCTTGCTTGCTGCAGCCCTTGCTCGAGCGAGCGCCGCCGGCCCCAGTGGCGATGAGGACAAGCAAGAGGGGAAGGAGCAAGACGACAGCAGCGGAGAAGCAGAAGCAACAGCTTCGCCGAAAGCTTTGGTGCGTTTGGGTTGACAGTGATGTTGCTGCACTGGCGCGTTGCCTGGTTGGTTGGGTTGCTGGGTTGGCAGTGGTGGTGTGATGAGTGAGCAAACGGCTGGGGTTTGAATAGCACCTTCTGCTGGGCTGTTTCTCATGTTGTGTGCTTGCCTGCGTGGGATTTGCAGGTGAACAGCCTGTGGCGAGCGAGGAAAGCTGTTCTCTGGTCGCGCTTGCAACACATGATGATGTAGTTGTGAAACTCACATCATTTCACCGCTTTCGATGGTGTTGCACCTGCTGCTGCAATCATTTCGCTTCACCATCTCGTGGTTGTGCTTTTCTGTGCTCGTGTGTGTGTGTGTGTGTGTGTTTGTGCTTGTGTGTTCGAACACGTCAAAATGAAGCAACCATTACTGTGCGTTTCATGTAACACCTGAAAGGCGAAGCAACCGTGTCATGTCACTGTGAGGCCTGGTGGGTGCAGAGTCACCGTTCACACCACACAATTTGTGCTTTGTCAGAAGAGTCAGCTGGCTTTTTTGGCTAGAATATTTTGTAAATCTTCTCTTAATTTTCCCCATTTTTTGTGTGTCAGTTTGACAAGCACACACACACGCACTCTCCCACTCACTCACGCTCCATGAGCCGCGGCAACTCGACGAGAACACCTTTCAGCATCAACAAGGTGCGCGGAGTGTTGTGTCCCGTGGAGAGAAAAGCGTGTGTCCTTCAGAGAGTGGTGTGTCATCGATTCCTCCATTCCTCCAGTTCTCCATGCTGCATGCCACGGTTGTGTTGCATCATTTTTCCTTGCGAACGATACACAACAGTACACAAGCCACCGAAAACACAAGATACACACACACAGACACACACACAGACACACACACACACAGAGACACACACACATTTCTGCCGATCCCGTGACACAGTTCATGCACAAACTCTCAAATGCCCACACTCACCCACTCATGTCTTCGAGAGTATTCAAACAACACGATGTTCCTAATGAGTATCGTCCTGTGTCTTGTGCTCGTCATGCTAGACATCATCATAAGCCGGGTGAAGAGGGTTCCTCATCCGCAAAAGGAAACAGCGACGGCGCCTCAGACGAAGCCAGGAACCTTCGGGTTCACCTTCCCTCCCGAACTGATTGTCAACCCCACACGCGTCCTACTTGCATCGCAGATCCAGCGCAATCTTCTTCAGGGAGAATGAGTGGTAACATAGAGACCAGCTCTCTGTGGATCATATCGACACTCAGCGCGGACGCACTGAAAACTTCCCTGGACAGCGAAAGTGTCGACTACGCGCTCGACCTCCTTCCTAATGGCGCGGCGCGCATCGCTTTCAGCTCCGAGGCCGCCGCGCTCAAGGCCCATGCGGTGCTCGGCCCCGTGCGCAAGACAGGCTTCCATGCGTCGCCAAAGCTCAAGACGCTGCTGCAGCAAAGAGGAAGTGAGCGTGCGCAGGAGCCCCCGGTGGATAGGGGAGAAGCTGCCCACGCTAAACACCCGAGAGAGCAGGCAGGCTTTGGCTCTTACGCTTACCCGAAGAGCGTACAGACGGTGCGCGAAGAAGAAAGGGAGCATGACCGTGGTTATAGAGCGGACACGGGCGATGGCGGCACCCACGGGCCCAGACAAGCAGCCGACACATCGCCCTCAACATCATGGCGGCCACACCAGCACCAGCCGCACCAGCACCAGCCGCACGCACAGCGCCACACCAGCGAACGACCGCACAGTGACGTCCACCCACTTCCCAGCAGCACCCGGCATCACCCGCGCCTCGGATCGCTGTCAGACTCGTCCACATTGGATTCTCCTGCTCACCAGCACCCCCAGCAGCACCAGCAGCGACGACCGCCAGGCCCATCGGGATGGGCACACGCAGGGGAATACCATCATCAGCACCAGCAGCCCCAGCAGCACTCGCACTACCAGCACCGCCACCAGCATCAGCACCACCAGCAGTCGCTGCAGGGGTCCCCACACGCACCCGCATTTGTACCGCCCCAGCCCCAGCCTGGTGTGAACGCACCACCCTTTTACTACCAACCACAACCGCACCAACAAGGGTATTACATGCAGTTTGCTCCTCCACAGCAACAGGGACCGCCACCACCACAACCACCGCAACAACAGCAACAGCATGCGTTTCCACCCTACCACCCCCACAACCAGCCACCACTGCTGCATCACCAACACAGACAACAGCACCAACAGCAGCAGCAGCAGCAGCAGCAGCAGCAGCAGCAGCAGCACCAGCAGTACCAGCAGCCGCAACCACCGCGTGGTGGCACGTACGATTTGCATGCACGCAACATTCCCTCGTCCAACTATGAGGAGTTTCTGTCCATGATGTACGATGCGGGCGCCGTGCGTGTGGACCGCATGTCCATCAAGAGCACCGCCGACTATTGTCTCGCCACTGTCAGGTGCGGTGGTGGTGACGGCGATGTTGGCAGCTGCACAAGAGAGAAGCAGCGGGCGGGGAGGGGGGAAGGCAGGGGGAGCCGTTGAAGCTTGCAGCTTGTTGTTAAGGCGGTTGTTGTTGGTCGGACAGGCGTTGGCAAATCCCCCCTCTTGGCTCGTGGTTGGGATTGGTCAGGTTTTTATTCCGTGTGGTGAAGACACCTTTGTTCCCTCACCATCAACACACACACACACACACACACACACACACACACACACACACACACACACACACACACACACACACACACACACACACACACACAGGTTCCCGACAAAGGCACTGGCGGAGGACGCGCTGAGGAAGTTTGACACGCATCTGCTGGGCACGCGCACGCTCGAGCTCACGCGACACAACCGCTGCCCGCAATGGACCGAAGCCGAGCTGAAGCAGCACCTTGATCCGAAACACACGTTTTTCGTGTTTATCAAGAACATCCCGCGTGGCTATGAGCGCACGCTGGCGGCGCGCGTGCGCGAGCTTGAGGGTTATCGCCGCGTGCATGTGACATTTCCATCCGGCAATGAATCGATTGTGTTTGCCAATGCGAGCTTTGCTGACAGGCGGTCTGCCGACGCTGCCATTCGCATGCTGAGCACGCTTCGCCTTGGCGACCGTGTCATTGAGGCACAGCCCAACACCAAGCAGGGTGAGTTGGCGACCAAATACATTGAGCGTTCGAAAACGAAACTACCCACAATCGGACTCGTTATTGTTGTGATGTGACGATTGCCATTCCATATCGTGTGCAGTGGATTCAACTGTTGACACACGCATTCGCTGTTGGAATCGAGCTATTCTTTTCCTGCAAGCATTTTGGTTCCATTGTGCGAGTTTCCGTTGTGTCCGAACTGACTCCTTGCGGAGTCATAGTCATGTCACGCCATTGTGATCAGTTACTGGTCATGACATGACATGTCACTGTGTGCCTCCGTATGTGCGGCAAATCGCCACATGATATGGCTTCCGTTGTTTTGATCATCACTCTTCAACTGATTAGTTCAGGAAAGTGCTGCCCACCTTTTGTGTGAAATATTGTCCCGTTTACTCACTGATTGCTTCGGTCAAACCTTTGCCTCTCTTCCTTTGTTTCCCCGCGCGCGCGCGCACACACACACACACACACACTCACACACACACACACACACACACATTCAGGCGCGTACAAGGATGAAGAAGATATTCGCACACAGTTTGATGTGCGTGTTGTGTGTGTGTGACTGTGACTTTTGTGACTGTGACTGTATGTGGGTGCTGTGACTGTGACTTTTGTGGCTGTGTGTGTGTGTGTGTGCGCGCGTGTGTGTTGACGACATCATGACCCTTCATGCTCTTACACCGCATCCCCTCTTTCTGCACTCTCCGCTTGCTTTCCCCTCTTCCTCGTCAACACACACACACACACACACACACACACACACACACACAGCTTGATGCGCCGCGCTCCCACCAGCATCAGCGCCATCAGTACCAGCCCCCTCCTGCACCCACACCAACATCCCAGCACCACCATCATCAGCACCATCATCATCAGCAGCAGGAGTACGCTGGTTCCAGGCCGCGTGGTGGCGGCCCTCCGTTTGAGCCTGAGCCGCTCATCCCGCCAACGCCGGCATCGTCAGCACCAACAACGGCACCAGCACATGGGCACGCACCACAGCCGCACCAGGCATACTCGGAGCAGTACCCATCGACGTCGCACTCCAAGTCAACAGCGACGACGACAGCACCCCACGCTGAGGACCCGTACCTGCATCAACGTGCCGAGCCCACCCTGCCGCCAACCCTCCAGCGCCACCCGTACGAGAGCTCACGTCAGCACCACGACCACGCGCAGCGGTACGAGCCATTTACCCGGCAGCCGCCAGTGAGCCGCGAACCGGAGCCATACACAACAGCAGCACAACCACCGGCACACGGCGACGAGAAGGTTGAGGGTGAGGATGACGAGGCGGCGCTTGGGCCGTTTGATGTGCTCGTGCACCACATGGGCATGCTTGAGCTGGTGCGCGCGCTCCTTGGCAAGCAGCAGGGCGTCATCAGCATCACGGCACTGGACGAACATCAGGGGCAGGTTGCCCGCGTCAGGTGAGGTGCTGCTGACTGGTTGGTGGTGGAGGTGATGATGGGTGGTGTGGTAGTAACGTGGTAATGTTGAGGGATTGTAACCGGTTGAGGGGGAGATTGTTGCATGCGAGGATCATGATGGAAATGATGACATGTGGTGGCGGGTAATGGCGCGAGGATGCGGCTGTCAAGTACTCATCATGTTCGTGCAGTTCCTCTCTGTATCCCGGACCGATACACCCTCAACTCACACACACACACACACACACACACACACACACACACACACACACACACGCACACACACACACACACACACACACACAACACACACACACACACACACACACACACACACACACACACATAACACACACACACACATGTGCAGCTGCGCGACGCGTGACGTTGGCGAGCGCGTCCTGAGGGAGATGACGAACTTCCCTATTGGGCAGGTGCAGCTGACGGCCCGCCGCGACCCGGACTGCCCCGCTTGGACGGCGGACGAGCTGTGGTCCGTGTGGGTTGAGCCCGTACCCGAAGGTCTTGAGGAAGTGCTGCCCTCGCTCGCCAAGGCAAACGGCGGCTTTCACTCACACGACGTACAAGCCGGACGGCAACCGCGTCAGAGGCACATTCAGGTAGGCGATGTGTGTGTGTGTGTGTGTGTGTGTGTGCGCGTTGTGTGTGTACGTACGCGCACAGATGCCCATCCAACTCCATTCTGCTTGAGCACGCGTGTCCTTCCCTCAACCACGTCCTCAACCAACCAAACAACTCCCCCCTGCAACAGGTTTGTGTCACGGGAGAGCGCGGAGCTGATGGTCCGCCTGTACGACCAGCGGGAGGTGCTGGGCACGAAGCTCAACGTGTTCCCAGACCCAAAGGCAAAGAACTGGAAGAGCAAGGGCAAAGGCTCCACGTCCTCCTCCCCTACATCACCAACATCCACCACGCCGGCGCCTGTTGCAGGCCAGGCAAAGCGCATCACGTTCTACCTGAGCGAGGCGGCCAGGAAGCGTGACGGCAAGGGCTTGACTGCCGCCATGCCCTGGCCCACCGACACGTACCGCAGCGTGCAGGCGACACTGGAGCGTGCTGGCGTCAACTTCCAGTCGCTGCAGGTCTTCCCGGACCTGCGCTGTGCAAGCGTTGACGTGGTTGCCGACAGCGAGGAGGCGTTCCGGAGCCTGCTGCCACTGCCCATTGACACGGCGGGTGCCTGTCGTCTGGAGGCGCGGCAGGCACCGCTGCACCGCATTGTCGTCACCTGCACCCCGCACAGCAAGCCCACCACGGGCCGCGACATTGTGCAGGCGTTTGAGACGAACTTTGGCGGCACGGCGAAGCTTGTGCCCATCCCGCAGTCCCTCAAGGACACGCTGTCCCGCATCCAGCCGTTTGCCAGCACGCGCATGGCTGAACAACAAGAACAAGGAACACAACAGCAGGATGGTGGAGGTCGCAGTGAGGCACACAATGTTGCTGCCAAGCGGTTGTGCACGACCCTCATCATTACAAGAAAGGCGATGCTGACAACGACGACAGCAAGAGCAAGAGCAGCAGTGCGTCCTCTGAGACCACGTTGCAGCGCGTGTTTGTGCTGGAGACGACAGACACGCGTGCGGCGCATGCGTGTGTGCGCAGGATGCAGTTTGCCATCTCTGTCTCGCACAAGTTTGTGGCGCGGCTGTGCTATCCGAACGACGTGCACGTGGCGGTGCTCGATCCCAAGCTGGGCGGCCTCCTGTCGGACCTCGTCGACGCATTCAACAAGGGTAGCGTGGCCAAGGACCTCGATGTGCTGGCGGCTGCAAGCATGGGCAACCGCATCTGCTTCACGGGCAGCACCGCCGTGCTGGTGTGGTCGCAGGCCAAGCTGCTTGCAAGCTTCCTCGCGCCGGCCTTTCACCCGTTTGCCCGCAGCGACCGCGTGCTGGGCGACGACAAGATCATGGAGCACGTGCTGAACGACTACGGCCTCAAGCTCGTGCGCTACCCGACGCTTGGCCTGCTACCCTACGCAGACACGGCACACGGGGCCATGCGGGATGTGGAGTTTGTGCGGCCGCCGCCCGTCACCAGTACCCCGCCCATCGCATCGCCCGTGGCACCCCAGCACGCCACATCCCCAACAGCAACATCAGCAACGCCAACGACAATGACATCCACAGCAACAGCAGATAATGACGACCCCACGGCCGTTGCGCAGCCGCTGTGGGCGCTATATGGGTTTGGCGATGACAAGCAGGTGGCGGATGCCATGGCCTCTGTGATTGAGCGCAGCGCCAACACGAGCGTCACCTTGTTGGGCATGTACCCGCACCAGTTCCGGCACTTTGCCGAGGTGGCTGCGATGAAGGCCACCATCATGGCTGGCGTGACATACACGCTGGACGCCGTTGCGCCGGCCGTTATCCTCCGCAGCACAGATGCAAACGCGCTCCGCTCATCGTGCGATGCGCTCGCTGGCGCCATCTCCGACCTCGTGATGGAGGAGGTGTGCATCCCGGGCTCGCTCGACATGCTGCGGGAGGTGGTGACGTCGACCAAGGCCTCGCTGCTGCAGCACGTGCTGCTGACCAGCCACGCCCACGAGCGCGACGTGGCCAACAGGGCCAAGCACGCCCGCCCGACTCACCCCGGGCACGGCGACCCGGCCAACGCTCCCTGGCCCTCCATTGACGGCGGGAAACTGCAGGCAGCCACACACGTGCACCATCAGGCCGCGGGTGGCGCGCAGCCGTGCGGCCTGACCACTGCCCGGCTGTGGCTGGTGGGGGCACCGGAGCACGTGCAGCAGCTGCGGGACTACCTGCTCACGCTGGAGTGCAAGGAGACGGCGCTGTCGCACGACATGAAGCAGGCGCTTATACACACGCGCGACCTGGACGGCGTTGCGCTGCACGCCCAGCTGCAGCAGCGGGGCGCCATGCTGCTGGAGTACTCGCTGTACTACTACCTGGACCAGGACAGGGAGCGCGGGCTCAGCTATATCAACAGCACCGTCGGCGCCAACATCAAGTCGCAGACGACGATCAGCGTCACGGGCATGCAGTACCGCTTCCTGGACTCGCAGCTGCTGGAGCTGGCCCGCAAGTTCCGCGTGTATGTGCGCAAGCCCAGCGCAGAGGACAGGGACGCGTGCGCCTCCAGCGTGCCCGTGACCGTGGAGGGCATGCAGCGGCAGCTGACGGCGTTTGACAACGCGGTGCAGGACACGCTCAAGGAGTACCTGTGCCACGTGCTCCGGCTGCCGGTCATTGACACGTCGCACGTGCCGGAGATGTCCGAGTCAGACGTCACCTTCCTGAAGCGCAAGCTGTTCAACTACCTGACCAAGGCCAGCCGCACGCTGTGCCGCAGCAAGGATGGCGTGGTGAGCTACGTTGCGCCACAAGACGTGATTGGCACGCCCTCTGAGCGCAACGTGTGGATGGTGGCTGGCCGGCGCGATGTGATGCAAACGGTCATCCCGACGATGGAGTCGACGTTCCGCACCATTGCCCACATCCGGCCCACGCGGTACGTGTGCCAGGTGCCCATGTCCGTGGCGAAGGAGCTGTTGGACAGCGAGCTGAAGCGGCTGCGCAGCAACCACCCGCTCACGGGCGTCCTGGAGACAGACAACACCGCCCTGTTTGACAAGGACAAGGCGCGCTGCGTGCTGGTGCAGTCGCTGCGTGCGCGCGAGGCCGACGATTGCAAGCAGGCGATTGAGAACCTGCAGGAGCACGCCATTGTGCAGCACACGGTTGGCTCGGACATGGTGGAGCGGCTGACGAAGCTTGCGCTGCCGCACCTGTCCCTCAAGGAGCTGGACGCCTCTGAGCTGGCAGTGATGGCGCGCGCAGCCATGGACGAGGTCAACACGGCGCTCGCCGCCAACAAGCACTGCAGCAACACGCGGCTCAAGCTGGTGGACGTCGAAGTCGACAACGACGACGACGACGACGATGATGATGATGAGCAAGAAGGCGTTGGCGCTGATGCCGGTTATACCGCAAGCACGGGCGCTGCTTCGGCAAATTCTGCTGGCACTGGCTCTTTTGAGCAGGCAGCACACGCAGGAGAGACATCACAACAACGAGCGCAGGGCACGTACGACTCTGGCCGGGGCGACAGCCTGTCGACCTCAGTGCCGGCGCACCAAAGGCCAAAGAAGCTGGTGCTTGAAGGCCCACGCAAGGAGATGGCGGCGGCGTCCGAGGTGCTGCTGACCACGTGCGAGAGGCTGTTCCCGGCCAAGGTGAAGCAGGCCGTGTGGGAGGTGGAGCCATACCAGTACCACACCATCAGCGAGACGCTGCCCGCGGTGCAACTGTATGCGGAGTCGCTCGGCGTAATTGTGCGCCTGCTGAAGGAGGCACAGGTGCCGCGTGCGCGCAACGTGCGGCGACGCGTGCGCAGGAAGGCCGGCACGCTGCGCGTGGAGATTCGCGAGGGAAGCATCATCAACGACCGTGACATGAACGCCATTGTCAACTCGGCCAACCCGGACCTGATGAACGACGGCGGCGTGGCGTTTGCCATCTCGCAGGCCGCTGGCACGGAGTTTGATGCTGCCTGCAAGGACTCGTTGGAGAGGAGCGGCCCCCTGCGGTGCAACGAGGCGCGCGTGACCACGTCCGGCGCGCTGGCCCTCTCGTCCAACATTGAGCACGTGCTGCACGTGGTTGCGCCAAACTTTGCACCCGAGTTTGGCAGCACGGTGACGCAGACGGCTGCGGACCTGAAGACAGCGTACCGCGCGCTGCTGACGACGGCGCGGGACAACAAGATCCGCTCGCTCGCCACGTGCGCGCTAGGGTGCGGCGCCTTCCGCTGCTCCCCCTACGCGTCTGCACGCGCGCTGTTTGAGGTGATTGACGAGGTGGACCGCGACGGCACGTTGTTCGACACCATCCGCGTGACCATCATCACCAAGGACGTGAGCACGCTGTCGGCGTTTAAGCAGACGTTTGAGAAGTACTATGGCGAGAAGGTGGGCAGCGGGCTGTATGAGGACCTGCAGCGCAGCGCCCTCGATGCGCCGGCCGATGAGACGCCTGACCCCATCCACACGTGGCTGTACACGGGCCCCACGTACACGGAGCCGCCCTCCAAGGCGGAGCTGGACAACAAGGCCGCCTGGAACGGGTTTACGCACGACGCGACGCTGCTGATTGAAAACGCCTTCAACAAGTACCGGGCTGCCATCGTCGCTACGCGCAAGCGCAGCAATGATGATGATGATGACGACGACGACGATGATGTTGGCAATGGTGAGAGTGATGATGGCAGTGATGGCCAGCGCAGCAGCGTCGGCAAGCACAAGGGTGTCGCTGCTGGCGGCGTTGCTGCGGAGCATGCGCGCGAGATGCCCAAGGTGATGACAAAGCCGTGCGGGCGCTTCCCCGACAAGTACCTGCACAAGGAGCACTACAAGATGAGTGAGGAAGACGCCGCCCGCGTGGTCGCCGATGCCCGTGCAACTGCGGCTGCGGAGGACGAGCGCAACATGCGCCGGACGGTTGATCCAGATGTCCTGCAGCGGTGGCTGGAGTACAAGAACCGCAAGGCGTGGAAGTCGGCGCGCTTCTTCAAGTTCAAGATCCAGTACACGACCAACACGCCCGGCAAGCTGGTTGACCGCTACTTCACGGTGGACTTCCAGGACCACTGGGTGTACGTGAGCCCCAGGAAGGAGCACGTGGGCATGCACGTGAACGACCTGCAGGACTCTGTGACGCACGTGCTTGCGTGCGACGTGCAGGAGGACTCCAACTACGCCATGACCGGTGGCGATGCTGATGCGAACACGCAGGCCGGCACCGCTCACCCCACGACGTCCTCGTCAGTGCCGCTGCACTTTGGCACGATTGTGGAGGACGGCCCGTCGGGGCCCGAGAAGCTGCTGTGCGTCTTCCGCGGCATGGAGCATGTTCTGGAGCAGTGCAAGGCGTGGACGCAACGCCACGTGCGTGCACACGTGCAGACGTACACGCTCAACATGCCGCGCAGCCTGGATCTGTCGGTGATCAAGGCGGCGTGCGACAAGCACCACGTGCAACACGTGGAGCGGGAGCTTGGCGACGGGCGCGTGCAGTTTGGCGTCACTGGTTATACGCCCGAGATTGAGCGCGTGCGGCGGGTGGTGGACGAGCAGCGGTCGAAGCTGGAGCCACAGGCCATCTTTGAGATTCCGGACCGCTGGGACATGCACAAGGGCCAGCTGCTTGTTGACGTGACCAACGAGGACGAGCTGGGCCGCGTGCGCGCGCTGCTGGAGCCGCTTCGCCCCCGACACCTGCGCGTGCAGCGCGTGCAGAACGTGCCGCTGTTCAAGCGGTACTTGGAGAGCGTGCACCGCGTGTACGCCAAGCACCGGCGGCCCGCGCCACCAAACCTGTCCAACGACATTGCGCCGCTCTCTGGCGACGATGACTACAACGTGTTTGAGCACCGCCTGCTGCACGGCACGCGCAGCACGCCGCCGCACGTCATCTGCAGGAGCGAGCTTGGCCTGACCATCAACTACGCCAGCGCGGAGGGCTACTTTGGCCCGGGCCTGTATTTCAGCCGCGACCCGTCGTTTGCTGTCAAGTACGGCCACCACGAGGGCAGCGCAACAGACAAGAACGACACCACCAGCGAGCGGCGCGTGTCGCTGCTCCTGGCCCGCGTCCTCACTGGCGTGTATGTCGATGTGTCGGCGCCCCAGCCCAACCTGCGCCACCCACCAGCCATGCCGAGCACTGCTGCTGTTGGTTCTGGCGCTGCTGATGATGATGGTGGTGACGTTGCTGCTGTTGCCGACGAGGAAGAAGGAAGCGGCCGAGCTGCCGCTGGTGAAGAGAGTGAAGGCACCTCGGGTGGTGCTGAGAGTGCTGGTGGCCGCACGACTGCTTCTGCTGCTGCTGGGACTGTGTTATACGATTCCGTTCGCGGTTTCGACGGCGATACGGAGATGTTTGTCATCTACGACAACGGCATGTGCTACCCGGAGTACATCATCTCCTTTGACGATGATGCTGTTGATGTGCAGGAGGAAGACGGGGAGGAAGAGGAAGAGGAAGAAGACGCGCCAGTTGTCGGGGAGCGTGAGAGTGATGATGACCGTGGAGATGACCCTACTGAGGAAGTGGAAAGTGATGGAGTGGGAGGCATGCGACTCACGACTGGGAGTGAGGATGAAGCCCAACCCCGCACTCCAGCTGACGACGAGAATGGCGATGATGGTGATCGTGGTGATGGTGATGGGGATGGTGGTGATGATCCGCCACGTGATGATGGTGCTGGGCACGCTGGCGATCAATCACAACGACCCCTGCCACCCCAAAACGATGTTCCCGGTGATGGTGCTGTCGCTGAGAACAACAACTTTGGGGTGAACGGAATCAGAGGCAGCCCCCACGACAACAACAACAACCCCAACAACAACCCCAACAACAACCAGAACATTCTTGGCAATGCCAGCTAACTTATCCGTCTCAGCCTTGGCTATAGTCAGTCGCTGCTGGTGCCTTCTTGAAGGACTTGGCTAGGCTAGTGACAGATGTGTTGGTTTGGTACGCCAGTTCGGTTGTTGTCTTCTTTCCCCAATTTTGTACACATTCCAGTTCTGTTTGTTAGGTGTGTTGAGCGTTCCGTTTTTTTGAGAGGAGTGGAGCGGTTGTTGTGTAGCGGGGGGTTGGGCAGTTGTTTGAAGTGGGTGGTGTTGGCCAGTTGGCCTGTTTTGCGTTTGTTCTTCTCCACCCCACCCGCCTCCCCTTCTCCTGTTCTTTGTTGGTTGTTGTGCAAGACTGCACAACGCCGTTTGTCATTCACACATTCCTTGCAGCTAACCAAGCTCACGTTTGGTTGCCTTTTCTTTTTCCCCCTTGTGTGGATGAATGAAGCCTTACTTGCGTGCGGGATTGCGCACGTTTGTTGATTTGCGTTTCTGTGGTGTGTGTGTGTGTGTGTGTGTGTGTGTGTGTGTGTGTGTGTGTGTGTGTGTGTGTGTGTGTGTGTGTGTGTGTGTGTGTGTGTGTGTGTTTCACTGTTGAACCATCTTAACTTTTCTTCTTTGTCGTGTCTTGTGTGAGTGAATACATGCTCGCACTCAGTTGCTGACAAGCTTAACCGTGGTAGTTGTTGTGAACTAAATGATACACGTGTGTGAGGTAAACAACGAAAGTATAGCGCGTGGGTGGAAGAGAGGGTGTGTGTGGTTGAACCCGTGTTGAGCCCCCAATGTCGATGTCACGTGGATGAAAGTTCATTGGCTTGCGGGCTGATGACTCGAAGAAGCGTAGTTACCTTGTTGTCCTGGAAGGATTGCCTCAACCCCAGCATGAACATTACGCGTTCCACAGTTTTGGAACAGCTTCTCCCGCCATTGCAATGCATGTGCTCGGTTGAGGGTTGAGTCGTTTCAATTGGAAGTAAAAGAACGATGAGCAGCGTCAGGTGCACAGGAGGCTGTCACAGGGATTGAAGAAAGGAATATTGGTTGATGGGGGAAAGTTAGAAGATCGAAAGAGATACAACAAGGACACGCAGTGTTCAACGAATGCACGAACATGCACAAACACACACAAACACACATGCAAACATCTCAGCATCCCGGGTCGATGACGAGGACAGACTGTGCAGAGGCTGGGATACCGTAGACGAGACCATTCGGAGCGAGGACGCCATTGTACCATGTGCCGCCCGCTTCAAGCTGGCTGAGTGTTGTGGTGTCAGCGGTGTTGGTGGCTGGATCGAAGATGAGGACAGACCGCGAAAAATATGGGATCCCGATGATGTTGCCGTTGGGTGCTAGCGCACCGCCAATCCATTTTGAAGAGCCTGTAACATCTGCAACAACAAGCTCATCAGTGGCGTTCGTGGCGGGGTTGATGACGAGTGTCGTCGCAGAGAGCGCTGGGATGGTGTGGATGAGACCGTTGTTTGCAAGCACGCCGCCCCTCCACTTGCCGTTGACGCCTAGGTTGCTGATGGTAGTGAGGTCCATCGTCAGTGACTCTGGATTGATGATGAGGACGGAGGAAGCCGCAAGGGGAATACAATAGATGAGGCCCTTGTCTGCTTGCACACCGCCGTACCATTTTGCGTTCTGGCTCGACAGCCCGGATAACGTCGTGATATCGGCTGTGTTGGTCTCTGGCACGATGATCAACACGGTAGTGGCATAGAATGGGATGCCGAAGATGAGGCCGTTGCTTGCCACCACGCCACTGTACCACTTGTAACTGGTTGAGCCAAGTGATTGGATGCTTGTGGTGTCAACGGCGTTGGTGTCTGGGTCGATTATGAGCATCGTCTCCCGGTCGGAAGGGAACATGTAAATGAGGCCGTTGTGTGCCAACACAGCACCCGCCCACTTGTATTTGTCCGTTCCCAGTCCGGAGATCGTGGTCGTGTCGAGTGTGTTGGTGCTGGGGTCGATGATGAGCACAGAAGGGGAGTTCCAAGGGGCCGCGTAGATCAGGTCGTTGTTCGCCAATACGCCTCCAAACCACTTTCCACCTTGTGAACCAAGCTGGCCAACCGGCGTAGCGCTCGGGAAGCACACTTCACCACGGACACGATCAATCGCCCTCTGCTGGGCATTGATTGCGCTCTGTTGTGCATCGATCATGCTTTGCTGCGCGGCGTTGATGCTCTGCTGCACGGACACAGTACTCATGAGCGTGCTGAGCGTCTCGTGCACATTCACCCCATTCACGAACACGGTTTGGCTCATGGGATCGCTCGTGTTGATGTGAAACGCACCCGCATCATCCTCCACCAGCGTCACCTCTCCAACAACGCTGCTGATGAACGGCATCGAGCACACTGCCACCGCCACCACCAGCACGGGGAGCAGCACCAGCTTCCCACGTGCCTGCAGGCATCCAATCGTCCTCACCATACCAGCAGAGAAGAAGAGGAGAGGAGAAGAAGAGGAGAAGAGGAGAAGAGGAGAAGAGCAGAAGGTAGGTGTGCCTTCCTCCTTCAGTCCTTCCTCGTTCGCGTGTCTGTTCGCGGCACAGGCGCAGCACCAAGAGAAGAGAAGACAGGATTGTTTGGTTGTTCGTTTGTTGTTTTTGTTTGTGGGTTGTGGTTGTGGACGATTGTTGGGCAGCATGCATTGGATTTCCAGCCACGCAAGTTCACCGTCGTGTGTGTGTTGTGGGAAGGAAGCACGTTGAAACGCATCCATCCATCCATCCATCATTTCATCCTTCCTTCCTTCCAGCCTTCCTTCAACAGCTCATCACTGGACCAACAAGGACAGAGCACACACGGCACACTGCACACAATGTGGATGGCGGAGGGCAAAGTTTTGCTGTGTTGCACTTCAACTTCATCATGCAGTGCAAAAGAAGGGTGTGAAATGACCTCATGTCAAGGAGGCAGGCATCGTCACCACAGATGAATGTGTGTGTGTGTGTGTCTGTATATCCCTGCCTCTGTCTCTCCCTGTCTCTCCCTCTCTGTCTGTCTGTCTCTCTCTGTCTGTCTGTCTCTCTCCGTGTGACAGCAAGCGCTTGTGTGCACAGCACCTCGCAGTCCATGAACCGCAACTGTCATGGTTCATGTGAGTGTAACATAACCGATACCAACATGCGAACACAGACACAGTGCTGTGGTTCAACATAACAAGCATCGTTGGAGCAAACAAGTAAGGTAACATCAACGAAGGGCAAGGGAAGCAAACAGCCAAACACGGCAAGCAAAACAAAGTATGCGTCCAGCAGAACAAGCACGCATGCAAAGAACACAAAACCAAGCAACACCCACAACCATATGCGACCGCCCCTAAAACAAGCAAACTCCTCCCTGTCAAGCACATCCAGGCTCGATGACAAGAACGGTGTCGCTTTTGTGGGGAATGGCGTAGACGTTGCCGTTGCTTGCAAGCACGCCGCCCCACCACTTGCCAGTATCGGTGCCAAGGCCCGTGATGGTGGTTGTGTCTGTGGTGTTGTTGGCGGCGTCGACGATGAGCACAGCGCTGGAGCTGTAAGGGACGCCTACAATGCGGTTGTGGCTGATAAGGGCGCCGCCGGTCCACTTGGACCCGTCTGCCGAGGAGAGGCCGGAGAGCGTGGTCGTGTCAAAGGCGTTGGTGGCCGTGTCGATGATGAGGACGCTGGACGCGTGGTCTGGGATGCCGTAGATCTTGCCGTTGTTGGCGAGGACGCCGCCAGCCCACGCCTGGTCGCCGCTGAACCCGGCGATGGACGTGCTGTCTGCTGTTCTTGTGTCTGGGTCGATGATGAGCACGTACTTGGCGTTGAACGGGATGCAGTAGATGAGGCCGTTTGGCGCAAGGATGCCGCCGTCCCACTTGGACACGTCCGCGTCCAGGCCCGCAATGGAGGTCGTGTCCATGGTATTGGTGGCGGGGTCGATGATGAGCACAAACGCGGCGTTCCACGGGACGCCGAAGATGAGGCCATTGCGCGCCTGCGTGCCGCTGACAAACTTGTCTGAAGCGGATGGCAGGCCGGCCAGAACGGTCGTGTTGGTCGTGTTGGTGCGCGGGTCAATGATGAGCACGGAGGTTGCGTCGTTTGGCATGCCGTAGATGAGGCCGTTGCTTGCGGCCACAGCGCCGGCCCACTTGCTGCCGCCGCTCCCGCCCGGTACGGGGATGGCGTTTGCGTCCACGCGGCGCGTGTGCGGGTTGATGGTCATGACGGCGGACGCGTCTTGCGGAATGGCGTAGATGATGCCCGTGGCCGGGTCGGCCACACCCTGGACCCACTTGCTGGACTGCGTTCCGGCGACGCCCGCAAACGTGTCGTCGTCTGCCGAGGGCGGGATCACCTTGCACGTCGCGGCCTGCAGCCTGTTGATGGTGTGTTGCTGCTGCTCCACGGTGGCGAACAAGGCATGCAGGTCCACGCCGTTCACGTACACAGATGCATCGCCCTCTGTCGTGTTGATGTGAAACGCGCCGCGCGCATCCTCCCCGACAAACACCTCGCCCTCCACGCACGCCAGCGGGCACACCGCCACCAGCACTACCACAGCAAGCGCGGCAGCAACGCCGAGATCGCGCAGCGACACCAGCGGCATCATTCCACGTGAACAGAGAGGAGAGAATGAGGAGAAAGAGAAGGAGAAAGAGAGAAAGGAGGAGAGGAGTTGGAGGAGAGGGCGCGGTTGGCGACAGCGACAGCATATCATGTAGCGAGCTGTGTGTGTGTGTGTTTTGGTTTCTTGCATTTGGGTGTGTCATATCTTGTGCATGTCACGGGTTGTATGCCATGTCATGTCACTGCCCCCCCCCCTCTCTCTCTCTCTCTCACCTCTCCTTTCCTCCCCAACTCTTGCTCTTGGCCACCGCTTGCGCTGTCCAGCATTTTTCTTTCTTCCCCTCCTCCCAGGCAGAAGCGACGCAGCGCGTAACCACACAAAGCACCCCATCGAGGTGAGGCTTTTTGAAGCCATAGCCTCAGTCATAAGCTCATAGCACTCCTGCCTGCACTCGAGCCGAGCACTGGCCTACTGGTGTCCCCAAGACAAAACGGACAACTAGGACAACTGAACAACCCGAAAAGGACAGCACTCCTACATTCTCCTGTGCCTTGCTCGCAGCTCCCCCTCACCCTCCCGCCTCAACACTCCAGTCCTTCCAGTCGTGAGGCCATGGTGACTGTTGCGCGTGCCTTCTACAGGCGATGGTCCTGTGAGAAAGACGAAGAAGGGGACGTATTCCTGGTGTCCTACGATGCAACGCACACGGCCATCAACATTCTCCGCGGCAAGCGCTTCCTGGAATACGAAGTCGCTGTGGATGACAAGCCAGGCCTGATATCCATCCAGTGCCGAGAGTACCGCATGACATCTCATCGCCACGGCGACTTCTATTACCTGGGCAGCGTGGAGCACAGCAGGGAGGACCTCGACGGCATCGCCAACTCCTACAGCGGCAGTCGCTATCACATGTGGAACGACAACTGCCGATCCTTCTGCGACTGGTTCACGCACAAGCTCGGCCTCGGAAAGTTTTGCGCCTTGCTCGGCTTTCCAGTGGGCTCGCACCACAGCGGGTGGGGGCATGTATGGTACGCCCTCACGTCCATCACGGGCACCATTGTGAAGGATACGGCGCTCAAGATTGCTTTCATAGCAGGTATCAAGTCGCAGGCGTCCCGCGTGCACAAGTTCGGGGTCCCCTTTGTCGGTGGACCAAGGAAGATCAAAAGCATCAGGCTCAAGGACGTGGAGTGGCTTGCATAGCACCGTCAAAGCTCTGGGATGGGCAGACGCGGGGAAGGGTGTGTAAGTCTGCATGTTGTGTTTTGTGTGTTGCTTTGGTTTCGCGGTGCAACCACGTGGTTGTTCTGTCAATTGGACCTGCACATGATTCATGTTGGATGCTCGCAAGCGTATGCTATGTGCGCCTGTGTGTGGGCAATGGCTGTCATCACGCAAGTGCGATCAACCCTGTAGTGTATTACGACCGTGTAATTCAAGTAAACGTACTGGTCACTAAACTGAGAGAGAAGATACGCAAGCGTCTTGCTCGCCTAGCCAGAAACAAACCTCACAGGCACACATGAACATGCAAAGCTTCCCTTCCGTAACACCCCCTCCCCCCCTCTCTCAAACACACACACACACACACTCTCTCTCTCTCAACACACTCTGCCAAACCACCGCTCGCTACTCCTCAGCGTCACCACCATCGCCGCTGCTGTGGGCGAGGAGAAAGTCAGTAAAGAGGCGCGTTTGGGACGGGCTGCTATCACGCGTGGTGTGCAGGAAATGGCGGGCGATGTCCTTGGCGGCGTCCCACTCGTCATGCAACGTGTCCTCGGACCACGTGCTGTCGAGTGGCAGCAGACACGAGCGCAGCACCTCATTCTCCCTCAGCGCATCTGTGGCGTTGGTGATGGAGGGAGCGGGCGGGGAACGGTGAGGATACACTGGGTGGCGACGGGGAAGTGGGAGAAACACACACACACACACACACACACACACACACACTACGCACCTCGTGCAATGCGCCGGACGTCTGCCTCTTGCAGAGAATCGAGCTGCCTGACAGCAGCATCACCATGACGGCGCGCGTCATTGGTCAGTGTTGCACTGGCATCACTGCTTTCCTCGCCGTCAGTGTCAACATCGTCGTCATCGTTGTCCGTGAGAACGGCGATGACGTTGTCGTCATCAGGAAGAAACCGGATCCGCTGTCCGGTTGAAAGCTTCAATGTCGCGCACGTGTCAGCGGCACCACTCCTGTCAGCAACATCATCCCCATCACCACCACCACCACCAATCTGGTCATTGAAACCATCATCATTGCTTTCATCACCGTCATTGTCACCACCATAACCGTCCATGCCGCTCTCAACAAACTCAACCAGCGCCGCCACCTCGTCTTCAAACCGCTGCCGTGCATGCGCATCATCATCATCATCACCACCACCATCGCCATCATCAACGCATTGGCTACTGGTGTCGGGATGCGTTTCGTGGTGCCCTTGTGCAGCCTCTCTTGCCTTGAGCGCCTGGGCAACAAGGAGCACTGCACCTGTGATGCATTCCAAATATCGATGAAGCATGTGGTTTGTGAGCGAGTGGATGACGAGCACGGGTAACCCCAACAGCAAAATACGTGGAGGGAAGAACCAAGAGCTACACAGAAGCACACACAGAAGCAGACACACACACACACACACACATAATCTCTGCACTCACTTCCGCCGCGTTGGGTCAGCATCGGTGGCACAGCCATCCTCGCGTTGTTGTCGTTGTTCTTCCCGCACGCATTAACGCTGCCATCGCCTTCATGAGCCAGCCGCTGCTCCAAAACGGACACACGCTCCAGTAGCAGCATGTTCTGGGCCAACAGTCGGTCGTACTCCTGCACAAGGAAGGACGGGTTACGCAGCAGCGGCGGCTTGCACGCGTGCGAACGCTGCTGCTGCTGCTGTTGCTGAGCAGTTTGTGGTGTTGCCACAGGCGCCGATTCTTGCAGTGGCGTCGACAGTGCAGCAGCCTTGCTCGCATCACCCTCACTGCTGGCGCTGGTGTTGGGCGGTGCCGGCCGCGTGTTGCTCGCAGTGTTGGTGACGGTGTGCGCTGATGCATCCGAAACGGGAGGAGTGATGAGATCGTCCTCTTCCGCATCGCTGGCGTCGTCGTTGGCGCTGTTTCCAGTCGTATTGAGAGCAGCCTTCAACGGCAAATGTTCACACCCCGTCTTCCCCACCTGCACCTTGCCCAATTCCCCTTCCTTCCCTCTCTTCCCTTCCTCCTCCCCCTCCCCCTCCTCTGCTTCCGCTTCTTCCACAACGTCTGCAAGCGCACGTCGCGTTCTCGTCGACCGCAGATTCCTGCCATCATCGGCACCATCATCGTGATCGTCAACGCTGCTTTCACCCAACGCGTCCTCGCCGTTCACGAGCAACAGGGCAGTGTCCACTGCTGCTTGTGTGGTCGCCATCCTCGCACCACCACCGCGACGATGAACGTTGTGACCGCCATTACGGTCGGGCGTACCATTACCATGGTCACCCTCACCACCATCATCACCACCCTGCTGCTCTGCGTGCGTGTGCGTGTGCTCCGGGATGCTGGTAAGGTTGCTCTTGGAGCGGGAGAGCTGGCGCTTCATGCGTCGAAGCGACGACGACCGACGGATGCGCATTGAAATCGAGCGTGGTGATGAAGGGCGCGATGATGAGGGGCTCGCGTCACTCGCAGCCCCACTCTCGCCATCGCCATCGGTGCTGTCGTTCATGTCATCGAACCCGAGCGTCGTCTCGGCCGTGGTCGGGCGGCTGTTGCGCCCACTGGAGGTGGTTCCGTTGTTGTTGTTGTTGGTGTCCTCGTTGAAGGAGAACACGTCATGTGCACTGTCAGGGGTATTGTTGTTGGACGAATTATCCACCACAGGCTGCTGCTGCCGTCCGTGTTGTGCTTGTTTGAGTTGCCGTTGAAGGGTGCGCACGTGTTGTGAGAGCGCCTGTTTTTCTTCTGCGAAAACGCGCCGCGTCTTTGCCAGCTGCTGCTCGAGGTCTGGTGGTGACCGTCATGGGTGGAGGGAAAGAGGGTGGTGTATATGTTAGGCGGTGACATTGGAAAGAGCTGAAATGGGAGGGAGGCACAACCAATGGGAGCACAACCAATGGGAGCATAGGCATGGGCACAGACAGACAGACAGACACAAACACAGGCACACGGACGCACACACACACACACACACACACACACACACATACACACACACACACACACACACACACACACACACACACACACACACACACACCGTGGATGCGAGCAGACGACCCCTGCTGGAGCTTCGTGAGCTGCGCGTCTCTCTCCTCCAGGACGCTCGCCAGCTCGGCAACCTGCATCTGCAGCGCCTGCTCCCGCTCCGTCTGCACAACAAAGTGAAAGGTTGTGTACATGTGCGTGTGTGTGTGTGTGTGTGTGTGTGTGTGTGTGTGTGTGTGTGTGTGTGTGTGTGTGTGTGTGTTAGCTGCGCAGGGAAAGGTCACTTACAGCGCGCACAAAGTTCCTAAGCCCCCTCTTCAATCACGAATGCAATGGCAAAGCAAACAGACACGTCAGCACCACGTTCACATCGGCTCACCGAGGCCTGCGCATCCGCCAGTCCGGAGGACCGCAGGCGCACGCGCACCGCATCGCCCTGATGATGGTGGTAATGGAGATGGTGAGAAGGAAGGAAAGGCAGAGTGCACCAAGGCCCAGGCCTCAGCGCACGCACAGGCGCGCCAGCAACAACAACAACAACAACAACAACAACAACAACAACAACAACAACAACAACAACAACAACAACAACAACAACAACACACACACCGCACACCACTGCGTACCTGGTGCTTGAGGTAGCGCTGCATGGCATCGTCAAGCGTCAACTTCTTGTAGGGGATGGACACCTCACGTTCCGTGTGTGATGCATACTCGCTTAGGGCACGCAGCCTGAGGTGGTTGTGGAAAGGAGGCATGTACAGTGTCAGGGGTTAAAAAGTGGGTGGTGGTGGCGGGGTAGAGAGGGGGAGTAGAGAGGGGTACAATGCAATGCAATGCAGTGCAGACACACCCACACCCACACGCAGACACAGACACAGACACGCACACACGCACACAGACACACAGACACGCGCGCGCGCATACCTGTCAAAGTTGAGCAGGCCCTGAACTTTCTTCTGGTTTCCGTCTGCAATGAACCGCAAATCTTTCATAACAATCGGAAGAAACGCGACACGTGGCGCCTTGCTTGCAAGCTTCTTGTAGGCAGACCGATACGCCTGAGAAAACGAACGTGAACATGCGCGTGTGTGCACGCGCGCGTACGAGGAGTGAGTCAAACACACAACAAGAAGGGTAAATATTCTCAAGCGTTGATACAAATCACGAAACAACAGAAATCAGACCGGTACCACAATCACAGCACCCCATCCCCCTCCCCCATTGGGCACCTTCATGTTCTTGTCGGTGGACGTGAGCGACTGCAATCGTTGCATCAGTTTCCGGCTCTCCTTTGGCACGCCATCCCACGCCTGATGCAGGTGTGCATGTGTGTGCATGAATACATGAGCACGGGTATGTTTGCATGTTCACGAGTGTGTGTGTGTGTGTGTGCGGGTTCATGTGTGGCAGTAAGGACAGTGAGGGTACATCACAAGCTAGGCATCCACATTCACAAGCTCGCCATCAAATCTCACAACCACAGCACAACGCAACGTCACAGATCAACTTATCCATCCACCATCCACCACTGTTGCATCATCGCACCTGCTTGAGTTTCCTAATTTTGGCGGTGTCCAGTGCACCGATGATGGTAAACACAGAGTAGAAGTTGTTCAGCGCTTTGCAGTGCGCAGCCGCCTGTGTCGTGGATGGTGGGCGACATTGCACAATTGACAGTCAGCGTATGTGCGTTGCGCATGTGCGTGTGAGTGAGTGAGTGAGTGAGTGAGTGTGTGTATGAGTGAGTGAGTGAGTGAGTGAGTGAGTGAGTGAGTGAGTGAGTGAGTGAGTGAGTGAGTGAGTGAGTGATTGTGTATGAGTGAGAGAGTGTATGAGTGAGTGAGTGTGTATGAGTGTGTATGAGTGAGTGAGTGAGTGAGTGAGTGCGTTGTGCATGTGTGTATGTGTATGTGTGTGCTGCACCGGTAACAGCGCTGTCAAAGACGACACACCACCGTCCACGCAGCTGTACATGACACGTGCTCACCTGGATGAACTTGTCGATGATGACGGCCTGCAGTTTCGGATCGCCGGCGTCCAGCACCTCCTGCTCAACCCAAAAGTACTCTGAACACACACGCACACATGTACAAGTGTGATGGGTGTGTGGGAGTAGTAGTGAAGGTGGTGAGGTGCAATGACGGTGGTGAGAAGAACTTAGTGGCAACAAGGTGTGTGCCGCACTCCATGATGCATGCGATTGATGGACTACGACATGCGCTGTCAACCATTTCCACATACACACACACAGACACACATACACACACACGCATGCACGTACCTTCGTCGAATCTGTTGATGACGCGGGAGAGGGGTTTGGATGTGACGTTCTGCACGACGCTCTCAATCAGATCAATTGCATCCACGCGCTGATACAGCCGTGCATTGAACTGCCGTTTGTAACGGCGTGATGTGCAGTGTGATGATGGGACGACACTGATGAGTGAGGGAGGATGGAGCAGGACAAACAGAACGCTCACATATGGCAGCCAAAAGGAATGCGACAGACAGTTACAAAGAGACACAAACAGGCTGACACACACACACACACACACACACACACACACACAGCCAGCCAGACGCACACATACACACACACACACACCAGCGTGAGCTGCTCCGCCAAGTCTTCCGGATCGGTGACAATCAGCGATATCTTCGGAAGATTTGCGTCGTCTGGCTGCTGCTGTTCGCGTGCGCGCTCGGATTTGTCCTCGAGCAGTCGCTGGTGAAGTGATGATTGGATGGTGGGGACGAGGTCTGACATGTGGCCGTCCACAGACGCTGACAAACGATGACATTTGCGGTGGTGTTGAACGTGAGCACGAGTGATACGAATCATGTGTTCACGTGTTCACGTGTGTATGTGTGTGTGTGTGTCTGTACGTGTGTGTCTGTGTGTGTGTGTGTGTGTGTGTGCGTGCGTGTGTGCGTGCGTGTGTGGGTTGAGAGAAACAGGAACCGCGACGAGCGATCACAAAAGAACCAGCATCACATCACGTCTACGCCCCCAATGTCGTGCTCACCTGCTGTTGCAAGGATTTGCGTTGCCGTTGACACGAGCGATGGATCCTTGTAGAAGTCTGAATGGCGAAGTAAACGAGTGTGGATATGTGATCAACAGATTGTACGTGCGTGTTCTTGCGTCAGTTTGTGTTTTCATGAAAAGGGGCGCAAGCACGATCACTACCATCACCACATCTAGAATGACCACCCACCACAACCACAATGACCACCCACCACAATTAGAATGACCACCCACCACAACCAGAATGACCACCCACCACAACCAGAATGACCACCCACCATCCCACCTCGCCATGCGGTGTTGATCCAGGACTGGAGGATTTCGAGCACGCGGCGACGCAGGACGCGCACGGACGACGACTGCTGCATCTGGTGGTGGCGATGGCGGCGGTGGTACGGGGGTTGGAATGGGGTTGGGCAGATGGAAGGGTGAGGCCAGGATGGTATCGTGTGATCATGCAAGGTCTATGGAGACACGCAGAGTACAACAAGCACACACACACGCATGTACAAGCACACACATACAAGCAAACACACGCACACATCACACGCACGCACACAGTGCACACCTGGTTGAGGAGGACTTGCACGAGGGTTTCTGGCGTGACAAAGAGGCGGAAGGACAGCAGGAATGTTTTCATGTACTCTTCAAAGGAGGACTGTGCTTCCTGTGCGCGTGTGTGATTGCGGTCCCCGCCCACTCCAAACGGCAGCCAGCCTAGCATGCGGTGAAGAGGGAAGGCCGAGAGTCGAGTGATGGACGACGCGTGAGAGAACGAGGGAGAAACGGATGGGGTAGAGAAGGGAACATGCATGACGCGAAAGCGTCGGCAACACACACAGACACACAGACACGCGCGCGCGCAGAGCCATCTCACCCTGCAGCCTGCCCTCGGTGTGGTGCTCGGCGTCGCTGTCGCCGTCGTCGTCGTTGGTGTTCTGTCCGAGCAGATACTCGATCAGGGCGACGGTGGAACCGGCCATCACCTTCGGCAGGCCGTGCTCAAAGTGAACGATGCTTTGGGGGAGGGGGGGGAGAGGGAATGGGGCGGTGGTGGTGGTGGTGGAAGAGTGAGGAAGCGTGACGGTAAGGGGGCAGCGAAGAGGATGGCAGTTGATGAAGCGTTACAAGTTCACTGGAATGCGACACACACGTAAACGTACACACACACACAATCAAACACACACACACACACACACACACACACACAATCAACACACACACACACACACACACACGCACTACTCACAGCTCCGCCTGCCCTTCTGCCGAGATGAGCGCTGTTCCGTTTGGCGTCGGCGCAACGAAACACTCGTTCGCATCTGGAATCATCATCTCCACCATCGCCCCCTTTGGCGCGACACCGCCGCCACCACCACCACTGCCAAAGGCACCGCTGTTGCTGCTGCTGCTGTTGAAGCCGTGGAGGTGGGAGTGGTGGTGGTGGTTGGAAGGCGATGGTGATGCTGACGGGTGCGGTGACGGTGAGCTGATGGCGCGCGACAGGCGGCGACGCGGTACAAGCTGCCGTGATAGCGGTGGTGGAGGGAGTGCGGGTTGCATAATGTGTGATGGGTATGTGTGTGTATTGTGTGATGTGTATACGTGCATGAGTAGGAAGGAAGGGAGAGAAATCGGGAAAACGAGAGAGCAAGCGGTAGGACCACATGTGAAGCAAAGGGGGCGTGTCGTGCTGATGACACACACACACACACGGTGTCGGATATCGACCAACCATCATCCAACCAAAAACAAACACAAACACAAACACAAACACTCACAAAAAACAAAACAAAACAAGCACCGCGTACGTGTGATCGTCTGCGTGGGGAGGACGATTTTTGCTGGTGGTGCGTCATCATGGTGGCGGACGACAGGATGGAGCGACGGCGCGATGGCGACAACCCCCCGCCGTGCTTCAGGTCATCCAGCCGCTGGTGATTGTTAAAGGGGGGGGTGGCGTGTTAAGAGAGCTGATGAGAAGACGTTGGCACCTTTCCACGTCACGCACACACACGCACACACGCACACACACACACACACACACACACACACACACACACACGCACGCACACAAATGTACACAGCACACTTCCCTCCTCCTCACCTTCATGGAGGGGTCTGCCTCTGCGTCGTCTGTGGCCCTCGTGCCTTGACTTGACTGCCGTCTGGACGCGAACACGGACGCCTGCGGTGTCGACGAGGCGCTGTTGCCAATCGAAGGCGTGCTCGCCCCAGTGCCCGTTTCAGGCACTTCTGTCGTCGCTTCCCTCTCGTCCATGTCTGTTCCTGCTGCTGTTGTTGTTGCTGTTGTCGAGGCAGTCGTTGTGGCTGCTGGTGTTGCTGGTGCAGTAGTCGTCTTTGCTACTCGTGTGGGGAGCGATGGTCCATCCTCACCACCTTCACCATTGTCCTCGTCGTCTTCAGCACCAGTACTATCAGCACTCCCAACAGGACCGCCATCGCTGCCCCTCTGCCGCTTCAGTTGTGCAGACCTGCCGCGCATCATCACGGCCGATGCGAGCGACCCAAGATCGTCGTACTCATCCCCGCTGCTCACATCATCGCCATCAGCACCATCAGCACCATGAAGGATATTGACGTTGTTGATTGGGCGCTCAGGCTTCTCGTTCGTTGCTTGTCTGTCGTACTCCGCCTCCGCTGCAATACTTGCATCATCAGCACCAGCAACCCCATCACGCCGCTTCACTCCAGCCTGCTCCTCCTCCTCCTCCTCCTCCTCCTCCTCCTGCTGCCCATCCTCTGCCCCCTTCACACCACCATCATCACCATCACCATCCTGTTCACGATCCCCCTCACCATCACGATCACCATCGCACTTCATCACCACGCTGTCACCGCCACTGCCGCTGCTGTCGACGTCCAGGTTCAGGTCTGCCAGTGTCACGCCGCGCGGAAAGCAGAGTGGCGCGTGCTCGAGATTTACGCTCTTCCGGCGCACGTGCAAGTTCTTGACGATGATGCTGCCGGCGAGGGAGCGCTGACGCATCAACATGTCCGCGCCAGCTGTGCTGCTTGCAAGCATGTCATTGCTGTGCTTGCGAATGGCATCGCCACTGCTCGTATCATCATCATCATCATCATCGTCGTGGACGTCTACATTGTAGTCGTGGTCGTCGAGGAAGCTGTTGTGGCTGCTGGCCCTCCGCCTCCTCCTCCCGCGTGTTGGTTCACAAACACGTGTTGCTGTTGACGAGGATGATGGCGAGAGTGGCAGCGGAACCACGGGATATGACGCTGCTTCAGCCGTCGTTGCTGGTGTTGTTTCAACTGCTGTTGGTGCTGCACCTGTTCGCCGTGTTTCTGCTGTTGCTGTTTCTGCTGTTGCTGCTGTTGCGACTGCGGGCGCTGCTGTTGACGGCCGGAGCACGGGCGAGGCGTACGGGGTAGGCGATGGCGGTGTGTACGGCGTTACCGGTGACGATGGTGGTCGGCGCGCTGCTGTTGGTGTGCGCGTGCGTTCGAATGTCGGCGACACGGCGACGTCGCTCAGCTGCGAATCCCTGCACCGCGAGAACCGCGCCATCACATCATCGCCATCGCCGTTGTCGTCATAACGAAAGGTGTCGTTGGCATCAAAACTGCCGTGGTGGCGGTGGTGATGATGGTGGTGGTTGTCGTCGTAGCGTTGATTCCACCCACTGCCATCGGCAGCGGCATCAGATGACACGACAACGGCGTTGCACCGCCGCAATCGCCCGTGATCGCACGCGCTGTACGCATCGTGGACAGCGTCGTGCCCAAGCGCACCGTCAAAGACAGCTGCAACCCTTGCTTCTTCATCATCATCATCATCATCAGCATCGTCAGCATCATCAAAGCCACTCACACCTGCGGCTTCACGCACAACAGCAGCATCACGCACGTCCTCATCTTCCTGCACGTTGTCGTACTCGCCCCACGCGCCCACATCGTGTCCAAACGTGATGCTGTCGTTATCATCGCGATCATATCCGCTGCCGTCGCCCTCGCTGTTGTCGCCATCATGGTCTGACGGCACGAACCGGCTGAGCACATACGACGACGCCGTGCGGGACACGATGCTGGTGCTGGACGAGTGACGGCCGACGGCGGCGCAGAAGGACGCGCGGGACCCGCCACGTCGAAGGTTGCCTTTCTGCTGCTGTGGTGGCGACGAGGGGGTGCGGTCGCGTTCGTGGTCACTGCTGCTGTGGTGCTCTGCATCACCGCCCTGTTTGCGCCGCTCCCGAAGCAACTTGCCGCCTTTGCCTTGGTGGTTGTCTGTGTCCATTGCGTTGTCCATTGTGTCGCTTGCGCTGCTGCTGGTGATGTTGCCGTGGCACGCGCTCTCACCATCCGTGTCCTCGTCCTCCTCCATGAGGCTGTCGGGAATGGGAACGCTCGTACGCTTGTGGCGCCTGCGCAGCCTGCGCCGTGCCCGCTGTCGGGGTGCGTTGCGCTGCAGCGATTGGGCATGATGGGCTTCGTCCCCCGTCGTGGACGCATCGCTTCCTGGGCACTGGTGAGTGTGGTGATGCGAGCTTAGGACACCACGCCGCTGTGCGCTTTGTTGTTGTTGTTGGTGATGTGCCTCTGCTTCAATTTCGGCAAAGATGGCGTTGAGGTCGTCATCCCCGCTGTCCAGGGTCGCGCTGAGTCTCCGATATGGGCTGCGCTCCTCCTCGTCGGCCCTGCGCGGCTGTCGCGTCTTCTTCTTCTTTTGCCGCAGCTTCACACTTCCTCCATCGACGTCGTTGCCGCTGCTGCCGGTGTTGTTGGGAGGTGGTGGCCCTCCTGTTGTCGTCTCGCAACCACGCTGCATCGTGCGTGCTTGCCTGCTGCTGTTGCTATCGTCGGTGCTTGCTTCTAGCTCTCCTTTGCCTTTGCGTTTTCCTTGCTTGTTGCTGTGTTGGGATTCACCAATGTCACATCAACGTCCCGCGCTGCTCTCTGGTCCTCGCTGCTGCTCTCTGGTCCTCGCTGCTGCTCTCTGCTCTTCGCTGAATGGCTGACCATAAGGCAAACAAACAGACAGACCAAGCAGACCAGTTTCCCCGACCAAACTGATGCAAAGCGAAGGACAACAACGGTGGCGTGCAGGTTGGTTGTGGTTGTGGTTGTGTGCGGGTTGCATCTTTGCATCTTTGGTCGTTGGTTGTCGTCAGCCAGCATGGCCGCGAGTGTCGACTGGCATCATCGTCACGGTGGCGTTGGTCAGGGGGAGGACAAAAACAGGCAAAATTGCCTTCAAGAACCACCGGCAAAAGGCAAACTTGCCTTTGGAGTATGATTGTTTAAGTTTTGCACTGTTTTTCCCAACTGGGTTTCGCGCGCAGCGGCAGCGGATACAAAAGCAAGCGAGCAGAGAAGCAGAACAACAAGCACAAGTCGCAACAGACACAACTGCGCGCGAGCACACAGACACCCTCCGCCATACACAGCACACCTTCCCTCCCCCCTCTTCACACACACACACACACATGCGTGCCAAGTTTCATGAGATCAGCTGGCACTTTAGCCGAGCGGATGGGGTGCCAAAGCCAGTGTTTGCAGTGGACTTTGATCCAACCATCGGCAACAGTGAACACAGCAGCAGCAGCAGCGAGGAGGGCAACAGTGGCAGCGGCAGTGAGGGCAACAGCAGCAACACGGCTCAGAGAAGGGCAGCCGACACCGCAAGGAGATGGCCCCTGGGCAGGGACTGCTATCGGCTGGCAACAGCCGGCGGCGACAACACCGTGAAGGTGTGGAAGATGGACTGCACTGACGCCAAGGACCCAAAGGTGTCCTTTCTGTCGGAGCTCAAGCACCAGGCGTCAGTCAACTGCGTGCGGTTCTCGCCCTCTGGGGCGCTACTGGCTGCGGCAGACGATTCTGGCACCATCATCTTGTGGCGCCGGCCAGCGCCCACGCCCGCGCCCGCCCTGCACCCGCACGCCGTCGGTCCGATGGCAACAGTGTTGGCAGCACCCGCGTCGACAGCAGCAGCATCCTCGACGGCGGCATCGTCGTCGTCATCGTCGGGCGCCACTGGCGGCGCGGCGGAGAAGACGGGGAACCTGGAGGCTGACGAGGTGGAGAATGTGGAAGAGTGGAAGTACGAGCGCCGCATCACGGTGCACCGCGATGACATCTACGACTTGGCGTGGTCGAAGGACGGCCGCCTCCTGCTGTCGGGCTCCATCGACAACACGGCGTGCCTCTTCAACGTGGCCACGGGCAAGCTGGTGCAGCAGTTTCGCGACCACAAGCAGTTTGTGCAGGGGGTGGCGTGGTGCCCGCGCGGCGACCAGCTGCTGACGATGAGCTCCGACCGCACGTGCCGCGTGTATGGGCTGTCGCGGCGCAAGAAGGCGCGAAACATGTTCACGCCAACCTGCACACTCGCACACATGGACACAGACCAGGCACGGCACGCAAAACAGAGCGGCGGCAGCAGCAGCAGCAGTGGAGGCAACAGTGGTGATGCTGCTGGTGACGACAACAAGGATGACAAGGTGGGTTGCCTTGGTTGCTCTGTGTGTGTATGGTGTGTGCGTGCGTGTGTGCGTGCGTGTGTCCGTGTGTGTGTGTGTGTGTGTGTGTGTGTGTGTGTGTGTGTGTGTGTGTGTGTGTGTGTGTGTGTGTGTGTGTGTCTTTTGCGACCGTCGACACAGCGACCAAGTCATTTCACTCTCTGCGTGATTCCATCGATTGAACACATTGACTTTCACTCACTGCTACCACCACCATCACCACCACCATCATCACCACCACCATCATCATCACCACGAGTAGCAGCGGCCCAAACGGGAGCGGATGTTTGTTGACGAGACGAAGACGCTGTACTTTCGCCGGCCG